TGCTAAAAACTGAAGCACAGGTCAGTGCTTAAAACGGTCAGTAATTCAATTCCCACCCCACCCCCCAAAAACCCTCAACTAACTAAGGAGCTGAGAACTGGCTTCTTGGTAAAGTGATTGCTCCACAAGTTCAAAGTCCTGAGCTTGGACCCCAAGAATTCACATAAAAGCTAGGTGTAGCGACATGTGTGCCAAGCCCCACTACTCACTGTCGGCCCAGGCTAGTTAGATCAGTGAGCTACACAGTCAGGGTGGAGGAGGAGGAGGAAGAGGAGGAGGAGGAGGAGGAGGAGGAGGAGGAGGAGGAGGAAGAGGAAAGAAAAGGGAGGAGGAGGGAGGGAGAGAGAAAAGGAGGAAAGAAGAGAGAGAGGAAGGAAAGAAGGAAGAGAAGGAGGAAGTGAGGGAGGGAAGGAGGAGGGAGGGAGGACAGAGAGAAGAAGGGAGGGAGGAAGAAAAAGAAGGAGAGAAAAATAGAGGGAGGGAGGAAGGAAAAGAAGGAGGAAAGGAGGGAGGGAGGAAGAAAGGAGAGAGGGAGATAGAGATACAGAGAAAGACAGAGACAGACAGACAGAAAGAGACATAGGATGGGGCAAAGAAGCAGAGACCCAGAGAGAATAGGAGCAGCATAAGAAGGGATGATAGGAGGAAAAATATGACTTAAAACATGAATACATGTATGAACTAGTAAAAATAAATTGAATTGGGGGCACAGTTATCAAGAAAGACACTTGATACCCACCTCTGGGTTCACACACAAACTATGGGAGGGGGTAAAGAAGTAATCACAGAGAGGATGAAGGGGGCAAATGAGCAGCACACCCCATAATCACTTGACAGAGTCACAAGAAAGCAGGCTTAAGCAGGAGGGCTTACTGCACAGCAGACTGCAATGTCTACTTCACACTGAGAGACTACAGTTGGGGGAACAAGAACAGCATTCAGAGACCAAGAGCAGGTGTGCTTCACATCAGCAGGCTCTCGTGGGTAGCCTGGAGTTGGTACCATCTGCCCCGTGGGCTTTGCTGATACGTTCTTTGCAAGGTTGAGTTGGTTTATGGAGGACAATTAGTCCCAACAAGAAATCAGCGTCTGCAGCCCTGTGCTTGAGCCAGCCCATGCTGGCTCACCAGATCTGTACACATCTCTTCCCAGCTGTATGCCCTGTGGTAACACATTGGTTAGCTGAAAAAAAAGCCACAGTGGGATTATTTACACCACGGAAATTGGCAAATACCATCACTAGGATATTTCCCCCCCTTCTTTCCAAGAGTGTGTTGCCAAACATTTACTAGCATGCCACTGGCTTTATTCCATAAATGCTTTAAAAAAAAACCTAAAGACAGAAGTAGGAGGCTTCTGTGGGGACCTAAGCTGGAGCTGACAGGCTGAGCCAGAAAGGTGGAATGTTTAAAGTGAACACTGATTTAAATGACAGTCATCCCTTCCTCAGTACACTGTTTCTGCATTAAAGCACCAGCAAGCTTCATCTCATGACTTAAAATCCAAAACATTAAATATTAGTACAAAATCCCACAGTGTCACTTGTGTCACTTATTACTACTGACTCGTATGCAGATATTTAAAAGTCATCTGTACACACACACACACACACACACACACACACACACACAAATCCTTCCTTTCATCTGCAGGCAGAACATAAATGACAGGACTGCTAACCATGGAATCTCATAACTGGGACATTGAGCAGGAGGTTATATTTGCGGGGCTGTTGGGAAAGGTTATCTCTTGTTTGCATAGGTAAGTAACTTTTATTTCAGCCCCATTCTGACTACATTCCCCATCTCATCAGAGATCCTGACGGTTCTAGGGGAGGCTAGCAAGGATTTGCTAATCTCCACAGTCTCTTTCTAGACTGAGCCAAAATGCAACCTCAGGAGGAAATCTCTCCTAATGTACCCATCTCCAGCCGTTACTTTTTATTTTATGGTGTCTTGCTACCTACATATTCTGTCTCCGCTATACTAATTTCTGTAGTTTGATGTCTTCCTCTAGAATTCTCTCCAGGCCATTTCCTTTATGCCACAGCTCTCTAGGGGATACTCAGCAGGTCTAGTCCCCCTTCTCACGGGGAAGGATATAATGGTGGGGGCTGAGCTCTGCCAAAAAACTTTCGCTCTTAATTTTGAGGACGTGTGTGAGTGTGTGTGTGTGTGTGTGTGTGTGTGTGTGTGCGCGTGCGCACATGCGCACATGTGTACACATGGGCGTGCATGCTGGTGTCTATCTGTGTTTGCACATTTTCCTGTGGGTGCTCATCCTTGCTTGTGTAGAGGTCAGAGGTTAACTTCGGGTATCTTCCTCTATCACTCTTAACCTGATGTTTTTTGACACAAGTTCTCCAATGAACCTGGAGCAGGCAGTTTGGGCTAGCCTGTCTGGCTAGTGACTGCTTTGAATCTCCTGCTGGGATCTACCTGTCCCAATCAGATCCCTAGTGTCAAGGTTTCAGGCATGTGCCATTCACCTGTCTGGGGTAGGGTGGGGACCTGAACACAGGTCCCCATGTAGTCACAGCAAGCAGTTCATCCACTGAGCCATCTCCCTAGCCTCTGGCCATGTAACCATGAACTAGTCATTCTGCCTCAGGGTCTGGACCAGACCTTTATAGGCAGCAAGTGATACAGTTTGTCTTGGGACTGTAGAGATGGCTCACTAGCTGCTCCTCCAGAGGACCTGAGTTTTGTTCCAAAGACCTGCATCAGATGTAACTCCAGCTCCAAGAGATCTCATACACTCTTCTGAACTTACACACGTAAGTACAAATAAAATTTTAGAAAATGACTTGTTTAATGAAGGACATAATCACGCATTTCTCTGGAGAATGGGAAGCCTTCAAATTGCATTTCATTGAACTAGATAATTTTAAATACTGAACTCTGAAACAGTAGCTTTATGAACTGGAGGAGAAGTCAATGATGCCTTCGGAAATAAATGACAAAATGTAGGTTGACTCAGGGCTGCAAGCCGTGGCCACAGGGATCTGAGTTATTTCTGCCTGCACTGCCTGTTCTGTGGTCTGACCAACCTGCTTCTACCATGTCTGTCTCTGCCTGCTATCTATCCTACCTGCTCACTGCAGGATGAACTAAAAAAGGACAAAACCTTTAGATTAGGAAATGAAAAGAATTCCTTGCAAGCAAATAAGGCCTTTCTGAGTCTGAACTAGAAAAATTAATCATTGCCAATGTCAAATGTAAAACAGAGCTTTAATTAAAACCAAAGGGACATTTATTCTCATTGGTTGAAAGAAAACAAATGCTTTAGTCCATATTCCCTTAAAGTCCTAAGAGAAACTTACAACTCCTGGGATGGAAATCCCGAATCCTTTGTCCTCAGGAGACTCATTGCTCATAAGTAGAAAACTGGCTCTTTGGCTGTGACCCTGGATTGTTTTCCTCTCTAAGGTCCAGAGAGAGATGTAGCCCATACACAGACACACACTCCGTCTGTAGTGCTAACATTTGACTGGGGAAGAGGGGACTGTTCATGCACTTTCTAGCTTGAGCCCAACAGAATCATGCTAGGATAAGTATGAGACATGACCTCCTCCATACAGAAATCACCCAAAGTTGCAGTGCTCTGTAAAGAATCACATTAGCTGTGAGAGGTCACCTGGGGAGGGTGAAGGGCAGGGGACAGGCCTGGAAGGAATGAGTTTTTGTTACTTCTGAGAGTTTATCGCAGATAAACTCTCAAATGAACTTCACAGAACAAATGTTTTCAACCCATTTGTCCTCTTTCCATGGGTCACAAGGAGATTTAATTCTACCAGGTTTGTATGTCTATGTCCCATCAGTACAAGGGTGTTCAGTGGAAAAAGCATGGCGTTTTCAGATTTGCTAACAGGACACAGAAGTATCACAAACAATCTCCCTGCTGGAAAGATCACCCTGAGTGGGGCACCAGAGGGGTCTGCTCTGTGCCCAGGCAGCCAACAGTACAATATACTCCCACCTACACTCTCCATGGTTTTAGTTACTGCTATCAGCTGAGGCCTGAAAATATTGAATGGATAATTCCAAAAATGAATAAATTATGTTTTAAGTAATGCTTATCTTAGAATATTATTATAATTATTCTATATTATCATTAGTCACTGCTGTTACTCTCTCACTGCTAAATGTGTAATTTAAATGTTACTATGGGTATAAGAACAGAGAAAGCCACACTATATACAGGGCGTGGTATTACTTATAGCTTTGTACTATTCATTATTTCAGGCACCCAGTGACAGTCTTAGAGCATAGCCCACATGGGTACAGGGACACCATTACAATAGCCTTGGAAGAGAATGAGGATTCTCTCCTGGTTTCTCTCATTTCCCATTTTCTGTTCTGCTTCAGCGGTCTGTGATGTCAGAGACTGAACAGGCCCTGCCACTCTGTGGTTCCTCAATGCATCATCTGTGCAGCCAGGATCTTGGCAGAGAAGTCTCTCCACTATTTCTTTGAAAGCTACCTTTGTGGGGACACCAGTGTTGCCAACATCTGCCCCAGTACTGGGATGTAGAGCAGTGGTGATGAGATGGGATGGGTCAGGAGACAGGATCAGATCCTTGCTCCCCACTGACCCGCTGTAACTCTGGGGTGGGTGAGCCACCCCCTTCAATCATCTGCTTTTCACCTTGAACATCGAGGACACCAGCCTCACTATTCTTGCTAGATTTCATAATGGTAAAGAGAAAGCGTGCTCTAGCATCCAGTAATAGTAGTTCCCAAAATGATAGAAGAAAACTAGGAAGCTGTGAAATTACCCTCCTGTAAAGTACTGTTCTTATTTATTTTCCGCTTTTAAATATTGCAAGTGCTTTCGATCAACACAGCACTTGGAGCAAAGGCCAGAAAGTCTGCCAAACTTAAAAGCCACCAAGGGGATTGGTCTGCAGATGCCCACTCACCTTGTCTCACAGTCAGGTGCCCCTAGTAATGAGCCACACGAAACAGCCACACACAGGCATCTGCAGGGTAATTACTCACCAGCTGCTGTTCAAGGGGAGGGATTGCATCGTGATGGCCGTAGATGATGCCAGGGTTATACTGACTGAAAAGAACCGGATAAAATACCTTCTTCCCTGCAAATCAGAAGGCAAACATCTGCTTAAGAGAGTCACGCATGCCACTGCATATGCACTCAGCTGTCTGAAATAGTCCAGGCGACATTTTCATCTACTGTCTCTTGTCTCTTCATTCAACTCTAGACTAGATCTCAGAAGTATCTCACCAGCTAGACCAGTCAGTCTGATGCTTGAACCTTTCTGCCCTCCCAGGATGAGAATATAGGCAAGCTGTTTACAGTCAATGGCTGGAATTGTATTTCCCAAAGCGATGTGTGTGTGACATGTCCTGCTGTCTCCATCCTGTATGCTTAAGTGCTGCTTCCTAGCACAACTTTAAAGGCTGGCAAAGAAGATGAGGGAGACCCTGGGCAGCAGGGGCTCAGCGTTGTTGCCCTTTACCAATATATCTGGAAGAAGTGCCACATTTTAACAGCAGATGACCACAGCAAGATTCTTAGCTATTTGTAGCTGTGCCTAAGTCCACAGATAGCATTTTTGTATCTGTGGTTTCTTCCAGCCATTGCCTTGGTACCAGCCCATAGCTACCTTTCTCCCTTTAGAGCTGAGTGGCTTTTCTAGGCCCACATCCTCGGTCCTACTGTCTCTCCTGTGTGTGTTCCACTCATCTGACTTGCCAGTGGGAAACAGAAAAGGGCAACAAGACAGAGTCCCAGAATTAGTGTGCCTGACAGGCCTGTTGCTCAATACCCAAGGCTGAATTAAACAAGGTCACCTTCCTTGTCTTTATTACTGGAGGAAAGTGACTCTCAGGCCTGAGCAGGACATCAGGGAGAACTGTGCACAGAGCAATTGCTGAATGAAAGAGAGAGCTGAGTGCCAGAAAGTGGTAAGAATGAGGCAGCACAAACCTGGCTGTGTGTTCAGCCTGCACGTGTTGAGGAACTCAGAGGTGAAGTAAATGTCCACATCGCAGAAGAAGAGCAGGACGTTACTTCCCTTCCAGAAGCGGGCACCAACATCCAGTCCCTTTCCCCGGGAGAATTCACCACTCAGCTGGATGAAGGTGAAGTTCCTGAAATTGGCAGCTCTAGAAGGTGAGGAAGCAGAAGATCAGGGATTGATACACTATCACAGTATCCAGGAGGATAGAGTCCCTAGAAAATGCACAGCTGGGGCCATCCCACTCAGGACATTCTATTACCCTGAGAGGAGTATGGCCACCAAGCAAGGACAGAATAGACAGACTGAATGGACACCAGTGGGGTTCAAAGGACAGAGAACACGTAGCAAAGTTATTGTTTTGTTTTGTGACAGGGTCTTGCTGTCCAGTCCAGGGTGGCTTTGATTTCATAATCTTCCTGACTCAGCTGACATTACAGATATATGCTAAGATGTCCAGTTTCTACTGAAATTAGTTTTTAAAGTTAATGATATGCTCATGTGTGTGCAGATGCTCATGGAGTCTAGAGTGTTAGGTCCCTGGAGCTAGAGTTACAAGTAGTTGTAAGCCACCCAGCTTGTGTGCTGGGAACCAGGTCTGGGCCCTCTACAAGAACAGTATGTGCTCTTAACCACTAGGCTATCTCTCCTGCCCCTAATGAACTTTCAATGTGGGTTTATTTCCTCTATTTCTGCTAGTTCTTCTATATGGAGACCACTATTATCATAAATGCACATTCGTTGTGAAGGAACTTGGAATTGGTAAAGGTGAAACAAACCCCAGAGACATCTTCATGTATCCTGGGCCTCAAATAATCCTAGTGCAGAAAGTACTAGAATAGATAAAGTCACTGTAGAATAGAGCTTCCCAGCATCTTCCTAACTACATTCAAGTCCAGGAGCCAGGTGACAGTTCTTCATGTGTCTTGCCCCAGACAAACTAAAATTTATCTTCCTCCCTCTCTCCCTCCTTCCCTCCTTTTCTTTTTTCCTTCTTTACTCCCTCCTTCCTTCCCTCTCTTCCTTCTTCTTTCCTCCCTCACTCCTCTTCCTTCTTTTCTAGTTTAGATACAGCAGCATTGCATGGTGGGAAAAAGTATCACCTTGCAGTTAGAAAGCACTGATGCATCAGACCTAGCTGAATTATAAATTAGCTTTGTGAGGAGGACAAACTCATTCCTCACTCTGTTCTTTACTTGATTTATTTGCATAAAGAGAATAATAACCGTCTCCTTAGCCATTTTAGAGTGACTATTTTAGTGGTGGCTAGAGGACCTGGCAATATGAGCATTGGTTCCTGCCATCACCGGCACAGGTAAGGATTCTCAAGCCCCGGCTGCTGAAGCCAACAAGAGTCTTTAGTTTGTTGAACTGCCCCCAAATAGACCTTCTGAAATGGGACAAGCCTGGGCAAAATATAATTCATTTGGTGCAAGAGGGACCTGGACAGCCTTCCAGCAGGTATAATGAAAGGCTGCATTCAGTCCTTTTCCAGCTCCCGTGTGCCAAGAGGGCCGGCATCTGGCAGGACTCCTCGTTGACTCCATCCATCTTTGTTCATGGTTTGTTTTTCCCTCACTCCTTGCCCTTCCAACCTTGGCCCAGCCCCACCACTCTCCACCTTCTCCACATCTTGATATATTCAGCAGACACAGAAGGAAAACTATTTCCGTTATTAATAGTTTATCTTCCTTGCAACTTGTGGTGAAGGACAACCCAGAGTATTTAAGTCCTAAGCTTTTCACACACCAAGTAGTGCTAGGATCTGGGGATTTGATCACAACAACCAGTTTTGCTACTCTTCTGTTACTGTCTTCTTTCAGATCTCAAAGGAAGCTTTGGTGTTTTATCTCAGGAATCTATGGGCCCAGCCTAGTCTCGGTTTGACTCCAGACAGGACCAACAGGACAGACAACTTAAGATGGAAGACATTGGTTTGTGAAAACCCTGCTCTTTGAATCAGCTCTTTGAATCAGGTAGCCTGCTCCCTACCATGTGCACACTGGATGTCTATGAATATGTGCAAATATAGATTTATGACTAGAAGTTAGAGTGCTTCTAGCCTCTCTATTTGGAGACTTATTTGGAATCAAGTCTCTTGAGTTTGCCACCTTTTTCCAAAACCCTGTTCACCTAGTTTCAAGGCACCTCCAGCTCTGACATCCTCCTGGACTGTGAGTCTTCACTTACTTTACCCCTGTAATTTCCCTTCTTCCTTCAGAGCCTTATCTGTCATCCTTTGCTCAGGGGTGGTGGCTCCAGCCCAGCTTCTTTGATTAGCACCAAGACTATGACTTCAGAAAGTTCCGATCCTTTTCAGAATTACACCTGGCACCAGTTAAGAAAAATACAAGTCTGTTTCCATAAACACACAGGTGCTGGGAGGACCTGGAAAGCTGCCTCGATCTCCTAGAGGTTTCTTCAGCCCCATCTGTTCTAAGTCACCAGAGCCCACGTTCTCCTGCCATGTTTGTTTAGCTGCCAAGGGAAACTACCTGAGGGAGAGGTCTGGATTTCACTTGTTCACCTAGAGGGCTTTCCGGCCAATTCTCCTGGATAGTTTATCCAGGGTCGGTCTTGTTCAATTGTTTCAGTTTTTATACACTCTGAAATCTTGTCTCCTGAACCACAGGGGTATTTGTTATCTGGTTTATAGAGTAGGAAAGTTATCATTTCAAAACACAGTGTGCCCTCAGGTTATATCTGACTCATAATTTAAAAGATAACTGTCCTAAAGGGATTTTTAAATTTTATCATGAAAGATTTTAAATATAAAAGCTTATTTATTTATTTATTTATTTATTTATTTGGTTTAATGCAATAGGATCATGTTTATGTAGACTAGGCTAGGCTTAAACTGACAATCTACCTTCCACCTAAGGTGTGGGGTTACAGAAATGTGACCCACACTTGGTTTAAGCATGTATCTCTTCTGCATGAACATGTCCTAAGCAACCTTTCCTAAGGCAAGAGGCACATTTTTTTCTTCGATGTTATGTTGGAAGAGCAGGGACATTGCTACTGCAGCCTGGGATAGGCTGCAGTCAATCTGTATAGATACTTTCTGAAGTCATGTCTATGTGAAAAGAAGAATGCAAGGTGAGTGGTATGAATGCCTGAGCTAACTGTGTTGAAGATACAACAACCTATAAGAGATACAATGGTAAACAGAAAGCAAAGAGATAGTAAAAGATGGGATGCTACAGTTTAAGTGGAAACCAAGAATATGACACATCTGCCTGCCCAACACACAAATAAATCTATCTTGTTCCACGCAAAAACTCTTCATATCCTGGCTCAAGCTGCTTGTCCCAATAAACACCTTCATCTGCTCCACATCAGAGGCCAGGGCTTGCATGACAGTCTTTGGAAAAAGAGGAGGGACATCCATGGCACTAGGTCTCAAGATGACCTTAATTTAAATGATTAGAAAAAGCCTTTGAACGTTACCCTCTCTGCCTGAATGTGTTGCTTCTAAAGAAAAATTATCCAAGAACCTAGGTCCAGAGAAACACTTTGTCTGACCTTACATAGCAGCAATTTGCTTTTTCTCTTCATCCATGCTGTCTATAAAGATAAGGTACTCCCTGCGATTTCCAGGGCACTACCCATTCCCAATGTGGATCACAACCAGCCTCCAGGGTACACTGATAGCCCCAGGAGGGCATCTCCTCTGTATATACATTGTTTAACCAGGGGGTAGTACTGGGGCAATGACACATGAAGCCCAGCAGCCTGTGCCCATGCCTCATAGAACTCTGTCCTCTACAGTACTTCCTGGCCCCTTCATCTACCATGGGCATGGCCACCCAGGGACAACTTCCTCTGGCCTACTCTGAAGCCCTGATAGCTCACCAGGTCCGGAGTAGTGGGACATATGTACACAAAGAAAGCAGCATGGGGTTAGAATCATCAATGGCCATCTATCAAGGAAGGATAGTACTGTCTCTGTCATCTACCTATGGGTCCCCCTTGGCTGCCAGGATAGCAAGACCTCAAAGTCCATTGTACAGTGACTTCTCCACCTGATAATGTCATGGCCATGAGTGTCGACCACTGAGTCCACATGCAGGCATTCAGGTCTGTTGTCCACCTGCCCAACTCTGGTGTCAAGCCAGTGGACACTCATGATAGATGAATCATAAAGGTATGCATATGACTGGGACCACATGTTTCTTCTTGTGATCCTTTCCAAGTAGATACTGTCTTCATATCTTTCTGAAAGGGCTCTTTTCACATCTTTTGAGTACCTCCCTGCAAACTAGAGAGACCTTTCTGGGCATACTACTGAGTCCTGCCCTAGTCGTTCTTGTATCTTGATACCTTATTGTATCAAGCGTACCAATGCACAAGAGGCTTTAGCAGGTTCAGATCCTTTAAAGGAAGCAACTCCACACACCTCCTGCCTTCAGAAATTATCCAGTTCTGGCTCATAAGTGCCACACAGAGGGACAAAGGAGAGACTAAAAACACTCGGCACAGCAAGAGATGAGTAAGTAGAAATGACTGAGTCTCTCCAGTTACTTCCTGAAGAACTTGCTGTCTGGAAAGAGCTTTTCCTACAAGGAGAGTTCAGCACTCTCATGTGCTAACCAGGAAGCCTTTACTCTTTATACAAGCTCACTTCCCATTTGAAAGAGGCTGAAACTAGTGGAAGGATTTGAAAGGGTAAATAAAAACCTTATCTTTTAAGAGGAGGTAGATCTGGAGTAAGAGAAAACAGAGCTGAGAAAATAGGATGCAATTTGTTTTTGAAATATTTAACTTACACAATGAATTGCAATATTTGATGACATGCCTATAGTTGTGGCATAGCAGGAAACAGGCCCTGAGCGTGGTGGAATGGGGGCTTTCCATCTCACTAGTATGTAAATTTCTACTATGGATGTACAAAAGGATACATGATTTATCCCTAATTACTTCTTGAATTATCTTCATAATTGACAAAGCACTTGAATTTCCCACTCAGTTCCTTTCTTTGATATAATAAATCTGATGCGTGAGGACCTCTCGGTTACACGCAGTCATTTTTGTAGAGGTTATGATGACCTGAGAAACCATTGCTTCTGTTGCTTTTAATTCCCCTAATTGCCTTGCATTTTTCCAAATGAGAAGATTAAGAGTGATAAAAGACCTTGCTGTCTCATA